GCCATCGCTGGAGTCGGCCGGGGGGGGGGCACCGTTGCGCGCGCAGAAGGCCTTTGTCAGGTCGCGCCCGAACTGGATCGAGACGCCGCCGCGGTTGTCGGAGGCGACGATGCCGTCGCCGTCATGAGGGTCGGCCCAGAGTGCGTCGAAGAGCAGCGTGTCGTCGCGCGTCTGCGTGTACCATACCTCCAGAGTATCGAATCCAGTGTGGGTTCAGCCCCGTGGGTAGTGTGGTAGCATCGCGACGTCCCGCACTCGGTGAACACGCCAATGCCCAGGGACCCCGTGTTGCGTGTCTGACTGTCACTGTGCCGGCGTGCGAGTTCGGGCCTGCAGGACGGACGGCGGCTGGCGGCAGGCGTCGATGGCGCGGATGTCGTCGAGCGTGACGTCCTCCTCGCGAAAGAGCCCGCCGTGGATCACGAGCGCCCACTCGCCGACGAGCGAGGCGATGGGCAGGTTGGTGAAGAGGTTCTGGAAGAGGTCGATGAGCAGCTCGTCGTGCGGGTACTTTGCGCGCACCTCCCACGCGAAGCCGCCCCCGTTCGCAAAGGGCCTGCGAGGCAAGGGGCGCGGGGGAGTGCGATGAGCAGCGCGGGCGGGAGAAACCCCCAGCTCGGGCGTGGGGGGCTGGTGCGAGAGGATGGTGCGGCGGCGGCGGCGGCGGGTTGGGCGAAAGCGGCGGCGGCCGGCGGCAAGGGCGGTGGAGGTGAATGCGGCAGCGAAAGCGGCGGCGGTGGATGCGGCGGCGCGGGTGGCACTGCGGGGGTCGCACCGCTCGTTCAGGTCGCGCTGCTCGTGGTTGCCGCGGTTGATGTGCCTATCACCCCGGTCCGCGAGCCGGGTGAGGGGGGGGGGTGACGCGTAGCGCGGCGGCGTAAAGGCCGGCGTCGCGCATAATGTCGGGGCACGCGAGCTTGAAGGCGAGGAGGAGGACGAAGATCTCCGTCGCGTTGCGGCCGCGGTCGGCGATGTCGCCGTTGAATAGGTACGCGTTGCCCGGAGCTGGCAGGCCATGTTCCTCAAAGATGACTAGGACGTCCTGCAGCTGGCCGTGCGTGTCCCCGCACACGAGCAACCGCTCACCCGGCTTGGCGGGCGGCGGCACGTGGATGAGCGAGCCGCAGGCGGCGGCCTGCGGACGGGGGGGCGACAGGCCTGGCGGCAGGGACGGCGGCGAGTGCGTCGGTGTGTGGAGGCGTCGCCTGCGCTTCAAAGGCGTGGCTGGCGGCGATGAGCATCTCGTAGACCATCTTGCGGGGCAGGGGCTTCGCGTTGGGTGAGCGCAGGTACGAGTAGAGCTCGCCCGCCTTCTTGAGCGTGTATGGCGGCGAGAGGGCGAAGTCGCCGTCGTAGGTGAGCGCCGCCGCGACCGAGCTCCACTGGCTGTGGGCAGCGGCGCCGCCGCCGCGCGGGCTGGCGAGCGCGCCGCCACGCGTGGGGAAGCGCTTCGTCATGAGCTCGTCGACGCTGCACCCCTTCAGCTGCTGCTCGAGGTAGCTCAGCTCCTCGGCCTGCTCCATGGCGTCCCACGCATCGAACGCCGCGTCCCCCGCGTCGCTCGCCTCGCTGCTCGTGTCGTCAGCCTCGTCCTTGTACGGAGCCATCCGCTCGTGGTTGGACGAGAGGCGCGGCCTGCTGCTCCTCGACGTGCGCGCAGGGACGCTCTCGACGCATCCCATCCCCGCGAGGCGACAGCGGCGCGACGAACGCAGCGGCGCGCCGAGTCCCCAAGTGAGAGGCCTTGTGACCTACTTTGGCAAGGTGTGGACCATTCCTGTCACGCGAATAAAATAACCGCGGCGCGCCGTAGCCGCCGGCTTCCCGCCTCCCACCCTCCCCACCGCCGGGACTGCAGCCGCCCCAACCCCGACCTCCCAACCGCCGACCTGCCCGGGCGCCAACTCTTGGGCGCTGTTCTCGACACTGAACATCCCCCCCCCCACCCGAAGGTCGGCTGTGAGGCGAGGGTGAAGGCACAGCCCAGAGCTTGTGGATTTCAGTTGCTGACAATTGAGGGCGATCCCC